TAAAATATTAACACATGATAAATAATGGAACAATTAAAAATAATAGCACAGAATTTTATCTCTCTCTTCCTATTTTTTTCTTTCGTTCTCTCCCTTCCTCTTTCTTTTTCTTTCTTTCTTTCTTTCTTTCTTTCTTTCTTTCTTTCTTTCTTTCTTTCTTTCTTTCTTTCTTTCTTTCTCTCTCTCTCTCTCTCTCTCTCTCTCTCTCTCTCTCTCCCCCTCTCTCTCTCTCTCTCATACACACACACACACACACACACACACACAGACAGCACTTAACAGACAAGCATTTTGGAAGCAGCTCCTTTAAATTTCTCCAAGGCTGGAATGGATTCCCCCACCCCCCCTGTCAGACCGCACTCTTTCTCACTCTAGGCACTTTACTCACACAGGGAAAGCGATACTTGCAGTATTCATGCCTTTCTTCCTTTCCCCCGGGGAGAAAGAGGATGTGGGGAACGGAATGCTAGGAGAGCGATCGTAAGTGAGCGACCGGGCGACTGAGTTGGGGGTGTGGCCAGCCAGGGGTCGCCACCGGTTCAGGAACCCACGCCAAATAACCGCTACCGATTCGCCCAAAAAGGTGCGAACTGGTTGAATACCACCTCTGATACAATTATAATTTCTGAATGTTACAATTTTATATTGTAGTTTGCTTTAAGACAATGATTTTGAAAGGCAAATAAGAAATGCATAAATAAAAAACTATTAAAAACTTTTTTGTTTAAAAATTTTTAAACACAAACTTTAAGCTGCTTTGAATATTAGAAATAGTCACAGTAAGAATTAAGACACATGCACATACCCACACACATACAACACCCCCCCCCCCCTTCTATTCTTTCCCAGGCTTTTTTTGCCATTCTTGAAAAACATCTATGGACTAAACCACTAGAAATTATTGGTCAAAATTATTATCTCAAATATTATAACACTACACTGATTTAGCACTTCACTATTGAGATGTTTGGATGGAATTTTACAACCATTCCAGATTTGCAGAAAGCAATTCACTCTGAGTTGCATGCTTCCATTTTTTTGTATATAAACTGGGCATGAGGTTGTATCTCCTGTTTCTACTAATAGCTGTCAGTGTTCTTATCCTCAATTTGTTGTGTCCTTTTCTGAACCCAGTTAGATTGTTGGATTATACAACAGCCCATTTAAATTTCATTAACCCTGATATTCGAAAAAGCATCAGTTTGCATACATGTAGAGTTGTTGTTTTTAATTTCCTGCGATGCAACAATTTTTTGGCTATGGAAAAGCTATTGAGACTGCAATTTACCAGCCTTTGCTTCCATATAAATCCAATTGAAGCAATTAAAATTGACCAAGAAAAGAAGATTACGGTGCTTTACACTACAAGGCTAAAATGATCTTGTATGCCCCCTGCCTATTTTATATCACTTCAAAAACTAGTTCCTATATATACTGTGTTCAGTTTTAGTATCAGAGATACTACTTGGAAGTGATTTAAGATAAAAAATTAAAATAAGAATAGTAAGAAAATTTTAAGTGCCCTCAGCAATGTGCAAATTATGATAGAGAAAAAAAAAAAAGAATTTCTGGGGGGAAAAATTCTCCCTTCTCAACTCATGTAGTCATAGTAAGCCAAACAGGAAAAGAGCAAATAAGACAACTGTAGCTGTTAATTCCAAAACCACAAATAGTTTGTTTCACCATTGGTTCTTGTCTTCCCTGTCAAAAAAGCAAGATTCAACAGCAATGATAAAATGTATTCTTGTCTTATCTAAATGAAGTTCTGAATTTGCCTTGGTTCTGTTTGGAGTACTTTAACAAGTTTATCACCACTGTTTTATTTGTTGATGCTTTTAATTGATTGTTTTATTATTTGCTTCTATTTACTATAATAGTGCATTATTACATGTAACTAAAAGCTGCTGGTATTAAGGGATAAATACTGCAGTGCCATACTTGTAATATCTGTAGTGATTACATTTTCAGCTGCATTCCATGTCAAATGAAACAAAACAAAAAGTCACAAAAATAAATATGGGTCAGTACCACGAGTCCCAGAATTCAGCTGTCCTGCTGGGATCTGTTAGTTTTATTCTAAATTTAGTCAAATATTAATGCAATTGTGTATCAAATTCTTTGAAGCATATATTTTGCAAACCAAATCGTACGGACCACATATTCGTCACACCAATAAACTTAGCAGCAGCAGACCAGAGAATGGAAAAATATATTGACTTCCATGTGTCATCATGAATGGCAGGTATACACATCCTATTATAAATGAGCTCTGTAAAAGTTTATTTCCTGCTAAGATACCAACCAAAGATGTGCCAAAGATAGCAATTCTACTCAGTTACCTGAAATATTTCTTCTGGGTGATTGTTATAAGAATGGTAATGTTTGAGAACAGAGTTCCAGTTTTTCTTTTGTTTGCCCTATATATGCTTCCTTGTGCCTTGCTTTTAAAACACTTAAGTATCAGAACTGTTACGTATGTAATACTGATCTTCATAAACTCCCATGTGAGACTTTTTGGCTAAAGAATGAATACTATTTATATACATATAAATGTATACAAAATATATAATGTAGCAGTTATATTACCCTATTAATAGGAGTGATAAAATATATTTAAATCTTCACTCAGTCTAGGCTCATGCACTAGTCTTAACTCTGGTTATAAAAGAGATCAGGAAGCTCTGATGGAAGAAACCCATGATAGTATGACCACATGGAATTACTATGCAGTGTACTCTAGATGGGGTGGCTTTTGAAGACAACTCAGAAATTAACACCAACTTTTGATGACCACACTGGTTACCAATAGACTTCCAAATGCTACTTTTTACCTATAAAACCTTTTACAGAATGGCTCTGAATTATGTCAGGCTCCATCTTTTCCCAAATGATTCAGCCTGTCACGTCAGGGACCCCTTAAACTCCTGGAAAGGAGGTGCAAAGATTGTGAACCAGAAATATGACTTTCTCTATAGTAGCCCTAATGATTTTTAAACAGTGTAGCTCCAGGGCTATGCTTGGTCCTCCCCTCATTACAACTCACAAGGCAAGAAAAAGTTTGATGAGTGGTGAGTTGGCTGCCATTATTATTGTTATATACCTTTACTATATGTTCTTTGGGGTCACGTTATATTGTGTCAGGCTCTTTGATATATGTTTTAATGATATTTTGCTTTTGCACACTATTCTGAGCCTGGTGATTTAGCCAATATAAAAATGTTTTAATAAATAAATAAAATTAATTCCATTGATGGTTTCATGGATGGCACTTCAAAGTTTGCTTCTTCTATCCATATTTGTTTATTTACAATACTTGCAAGATATGCACACAGAAAAGGAAAAGAGTAAAAAACAGGGGAAATCTTTGTGCATTCTTACATTTTCCCTATCCATATTATTAAGGGGGGAAATTCCCTGAGGTCCTTTTTCCTTGATTAGCAACACCTAAGGCAAAACTCCTATCTGAGAAAGAACAGTAGTTCTTGACTTAAAACCACGAAGGAGCCCAAAATTTCTGTTGTAAGCAAGACATTTGTTAAGTGAGCCTTGCACCATTTTGCCTTGACTTTTCTTGTCACAGTTGTTAGATAAATTCCTGCACAGAAAATGGTTAAGTGAACCTGGCTTCCCTTTGATTTTGCTTGTCAGAAAGTCGCAAAAGGGGATCACATGACCTTGGGACACAGCAAAGGTCATAAGTATGAAGCAGTTGCTAAGTGTCTGAATTTTGATCACGTGACCATGAGGGTGCTACAAACATCATAAGTATGAAACACAATCATACATCGCTTTTTTCAGGGCTGTTGTAACTTTGAATGGTCACTAAATGAACTGTTGTAAGTTGAGGACTATCTGTACATGAAGCCGTGTGACTTTTTGTTTTGTTACATTTGACATGGGATGCATCTGAAATGTCATCACTACAGATATTACAAGTATGGCACTGCAGTATTAGAAAATGACTAATTTTGAAGGCATCATTTAGTTTTAATGTTATTGTCTTTCTGCAACAATGATTTTTAGTAAATTCTCCAAATCACATAGTTAAATAAGTAAACAAGTGCCTTTTGTTCAGAAAGTGGAGTCATATTTGATTAAAATGGCTCATATATCACCAACAGAGAGCACTAGAAAGATTATATCTTTGGAAAATATTGTAATCAAGTAAGTGAGCCTTTGGCATAAAGCAGTCTGCAAATCTAGAAAATATATTTATCCCCTGGAACACAACTCTATTATATGGTAATTGTTTTGCTCACACTTTCCATCAATTGGTTTGTTAGCCCGATATTGTTACACACATAGAACACGCCACATGAGGGACAAAAAAGCAAGTTCTATTATTAAAATAATACACTATTCAATGTGAGGTTTCATAATTCATCAGATTATAAATTACATTTTACCAAAAATGAAAAAGTCTGCACAAAAATAATACACTATAAAATATCATCTTCAAATGGTGTTCAAGCAAATATGACCTGATCTAAAACTCCAAGTCTGTTTTTGCTCTTTAATTGAAAATATTTAAACTACAGACTTAACATACATACCTGGGCAGAGGGGTGTGGAATCCCCATACCTCCACTGAATACAGTGGGATACATTTCCAGAATAAAAATGCAAAGGATTTCCCCCTAGATTAATATTAGTCTCTCTAGAGTAAAATCAGCTACTTGGGAAAGCTTTCAATGATGATGCAAGTTACATAAAATGAGCGTGGGGAACCTGCAGGAACAAGGCATTACGTACTCAGCTAACAAGCTGGTTCTGCAAGATTTAAAGAGGCAGCTAACACAATACCACATTGGTCAATTCTTCTATTAAAAGCCACAAACTTGCAGATCATCAAGGGCTGGGGAAACAAGATTATGAGGAAAGGGGAACTCCAGCAAAAGTGCCAAATAAAATACAACCTATTCTCCCTGATGCATACATGAAACATTTGTGCCTACATATTGCAACAATCTCCCCTTTTCAAGTCCTCTTCAGACTGTTACCTGTTTGTGGTGCCTGTACTGTTGCCTCCGCTGCTATGCTTTCTTGACCGGCTCAGTCTCTGCAGTGGCTTTGGGTCCTGCAGCCCAAGACTTGTCATGGAAGGGAAGGCTGAGGCATACCCATGTTCACACTCTGCATAAATTATGATCAAATGGAAACAGAAGGAACAGTGAGTAAGAAACAGTATTTTCCAAAGACAACACCAACAGAGCCCTGAATGACTTCTCAGGCAGCACTCTCAGCTTTAAACAAATGTGAGAACACTCAGACATAAAAACCACAGGCAATGCACCTGTTCAGATAAGGCTGATTAGCTTAGAGTCCAAATCCCTTTGAGTCAGTCCTGGTGACTGCATGCAGTTTTCTCTCTTTTTCAGAAGTGGTTTCCCATTGCCTTCTTCTTAAGGCTGTGAAAGAGTGAATGGCCCAAAGTCAGCAAACTGATTTCATGTCTAAAGCAGCACTAGAAATTAGTCTCCCAGTTTGTATACTAGTGACATTAATCACTACCCCAAACTGGCTATCCAGTTGTATGTTTCAAGACAACTTTAAAGTCTGTATCAAAACTTCTTGATCATATCCAAAGCATATTAAAAAGAAAAACATTCTGCCACTCTGCTCACAATTCTCCATCTATTACATGTGAATCTCTTTACCCCCACTTTTACCCTTCTCCCCAAGCAACTGCTTCTTTCAAAACAAGTTAAGTTGGATCTATTTCCAGGAGGGTGGGTCACCTCAATTCCTGCCCCTTCCTCAAAAGGTGTTACCTCGGTCTCTGCGATCCAGGAATTCGGCTGCCTCCAAAAGGCGCTGGATGTTGATCATCTCTACCCGCTCCATAGCCCTTGGGATGGATGAGATCTTTCCCCGAACAACTGTGAAGGAGGACTTTGCTGCCTTGCCCCTAGCACTATGGGTGAAATAGACCTTAGTTCTCTGATTTTCCCAAGGGAGAAAAAGAATAAGGTAGGAAACGAGTAACTTGGAGAAAGGATGCCTCTTGTCCTGCTTCTACGAAGTTAATCAGTGAGGCGTAAAAAAGAACTGAACAACTACTGCAGCAGTTACCCTGACTCATGGCCACATCCTACTTCAGATTTTTCCTTTACCTCTAGGCAATAACAGAGACCCTTCCCACAACTCCTAATCCCGACTGCCTCCCCCTTTGGTCTTGGCTATTCGTCGTCTTCTCCTTCAAATCTCTAACACTGCGCCCGACCCAGCTTCATACCCTTTTCTCAGTGCCCCAAACATTTAATCTGTCCTCTAACCTCTTCTTAATCTACTCCTGCATTCTGCCCCCTATTGCCCTCTTCCTTCGTGGCCCCACACTTTTCGCCTCCTCTATCTCGATGCTGCCCCTGCATCCATCGTGCAAGCCCTCTCCCCCAAAGATCTATCGCTTTCTCCGCCTTCTGCAGCAGATACTGTACGTCCCTGCCTCTTTCACAGTTTGTTTACCTCCGCTTAGAAATCATGGAGGGGGAGGGGACGCACATGAGACTTTCAGCCCCAATGCCATTTGGGAAATGTAGTTCTCGGCTTCCTCTCCCCGCAAGTCCGGCGCGTGTGCACGTTTGCATTATGGGAAGCTTCATTTTTTCCACGTTACGCATGTTGCCCGGACCGAAGAAAGCTTAAACAGCTCTCCCCTCGGTATGTTTACGGACGCGGAGGTAAGATGAGAAAATCCCTTCCTTGTTTACAGAAAATAGCGGCCATGAAGGTTGGTCTAATAATAAACAAATTTCCAGGATTAATGGACAGCTTGTCTTGCGCCTTCCCCTCTAAATAATCAGTTTTGGGATTTGTTAAGCCGTTATTTGCATAAAGTACTCGGAAAGAAGTTCCACTGATACCGATGTGTTGCTCCATTGGCGCAGTTTAAGTCAAGTGACAAAGGTACCACGAAACTGCATTTTAATTACTACAATAGCCATAATAAATCCATCAATTAAACAATCTATTCTACGTGCGTTTTGTTTTATCTCTTATTTCAATGAACTTTAAAATACAATTTATAATCAAATCATCTTTTAGAAATTAAAGTAAATCTGCAACTGAAAACATGTTTGCTTGAGGTTTAAATTCCATTAAAATGTAATTAAAAGTACATATTGGATAAGAGTTTTGATGTGAAATAACTTCAAATCAAATCTGTATTATGGTTACAGGCAGCAAAAATACGGTAATTATTTCTGTTTAGAGTCCTATGAGACATATCCTATGGAATGAACTATGTCTAAAATATTCCCTTTTCTCAAAAAAATAAAAAATCCTTGAGTAATGTTCTGGAGCGAACAGGTCCTGTGATGTGATTAGTATAATTATAAACCTAACAAAATAGCAGCAAAGTTTTCAGGAAAAACAGTAGGCATAGTTTCTGTTTTTAAAAACAATATATGAATATTCTTCAATTTACTAATAAATCATACTTTATACTAAGAAAAAAATAGAATCTACCAAAAATGTATCTCCTTGTATAGAGAAACTGAATTTTAATTGAAATAAACTGCTAGGCAAACTGAATTTTAATTGAAACACGGAGAAATGTAAAAAGTTGGGAAAAGACGATGTACAAACTGGTCAGAATGAAAAGCTGAATTGAGCAATTTGTAATACTTTATAATTGAATACAGAAAGTATTTTGCAGATACCAAATAAACAGAGTATTCTATGTTCAGTTTTATCCTTAGCAAGAAAACTATTCATCTTATATTGTTTCAACAAGAATCATTGTAAAGCAACATAATTTTTATTCCTGAAATAAATAAGTAAACATACATCCATATTAAGTACATATGAAAATACCTGAGAAGTGCTTCAGATTTGCAGTTGTGCAACATAGCAGCTCCTTTCTATGACAGCAGTCTGACTTTTTTCAGATTTCCATAGGAGCCTTACAAAGGGGGTTACTGATTAAAGCAATCCATTCATTAAAACTAATATCCTTAAAACTGTGGTCCTTTTTCAGGTTTGTCTCAAAGCTAGAAAAAAACCTGCAATACTTTAAATGAATAGCAAGAGAGGCAATATGTAGCATTTGCCTGAGATCCAAAGCACTTCTTGCTAATAATCTTTAAATTTTATATATAAGAGCATTTACTGGCCTGATGCCATTTGGGCCAGTAAATGCTTAGCTCCATCCAGTTGCCCTGACTACCCCAAATTAAGGGATGACTAGGTTGTAAACAGAGAGCTATATTAAGAAGGTTAGTGGTTAAAGTACTAGGCTAGAAACCACAAAGTCGTGACTTCCAGTCCTGCATTAGACATGAAGCCAGCTGGGTCACTCTGTCTCAGACCATGGAAAAAGGCAATGGTACCACTTCCAAAAATGTAGCGGGCACCTGTAAGTCACCAGAAGTGAAAACTACTCAATGGTACATTCAGATCTATTTCCACAATTATTGTTAAGACAATCCTAAGTAAACAAAATGTGATTATTTTTACACAATATTAGTAAATGTGAACATTATTTTTATGAGATTCAATAAGGCTCGTTCTAGATGGAGCTTTTACATAATCATTCAGCCTTATTCACTAACTTGTTAAAAGGATCCCAAGGCACACTTCACTTAATCTGTCTTTTCCCATCAACTTCTCCATTGTTTTTTCTTTCCAAAGTACAGTACTGTATTTAGCTTTAAAAAAAAAGTTACATGGTAGCTTTTGATTGACAGTGCTAGTAGCTCTGGAAACACCTTATGCATAAAGTCAATAGAAACCAAATTAAATCATATTACTTAGTGGTTTAAAGATTTTTGCATAGGCAAGTTTCATCATGATGTGGTAGATCATTTGGTTCTAGGATTTCATAGGAATACATAAAAGGATTTTCTCTATAAATCATAAAAGATCTGTGAAATAGAATAACATTACTCTTTAAAATAAGTTTTTATTGTGGTTTATTGTTATACTTCCAAAATTGATCAGACCACATGATCTCTCTCTTAATTAATTTTCTGAATAATTCTTACTTAATGCAGTCACAGGAGTCTTAAGATGTTTTTTTTTTCCTGCCTGCACTTCAGTATGTCATAAAAATAAATATTCCCATAGGAATTTCATGCAAAAGATGAGTTCAAATTACATGGATCTAACCTGATAGGCAGCATATGATCGGTGTTGGTTGGAGAGAATAAGAATTGTAGTGCAATAGAGCTAGAAGGCTATTGACCTGGGGAAGGTCATTCTACAGGAAATATCATTTTATCAGCACTCATGATTAGCAGTGACAATCCAACACCCATCCCCAAAAACCTCACCACTCCTCAGGCCCAACATTTTTGGGAAACTATGTTTAATGGTTATATTCAATCTGATATAACAATAATATATGACAGTAGGTCAATAGGTTTATTTATATTGAAATCCTATCCATATCAATTTAAAGCTAATAGTGAGGTTACTGGGACTATCAAATCTGGACTGCAAACAGCTATACAATTCCTAGATGGCAGCAAAGAGGGAAAACTCATTAGTGTCATCTAGTGTTATCCAAACTTGCTACTTCACAATCCACCTGTTAGCCTATATTAATTCCCTTGTTTATACAACTGTAGCTTGTGATGTTCCATAGCTTTTTAGAGAAAGCAAATCAAAAGTCTGGGAAGAAATTTTGGGAAAGTTATTTAAGGGATCTTCCAAAGATACTGTTAGTGGCAGCACAAAGAGCATTAACTCTACTGATATTCTTACAAGTTAGCATGAGTGAACCATATTTCACTTCCAAATTCAGCAATAATTACTGATCAAGCATCATTGTAATTAATACTTTTCCCTCATATTTCATCCACATTTTTTCCCTCGGTTACATTCAACAAAATTACTTGGCAGGCTATTTGGGATTATAGAGGAAGAAAATGAAACATAAAATATAAAGTATAATTTGAAAAACATTAAAATGTACTTGCTGCCAATGATTACCACAGACAGGTAGGACCATGTGTGACCGTGTATGTATTTTGATTCCCTAAAGAATACTATTTTATTCTTCAAAATAGTTAAAAGAATGGATCACACCCTTGTAAGCATCACATTTATTCCATACTAGATGCAATTCAAGAATAACATACAATTTCCAGCAGCTTAATAATTTTGCTCCTGCCAGATCTGTCTCCAAAATA